CTACCCCCTCGACACCCCTGACATCACCTCTACCCCCTCGACACCCCTGACATCACCTCTACCCCCTCGACACCCCTGACATCACCTCTACCCCCTCGACACCCCTGACATCACCTCTACCCCCTCGACACCCCTGACATCACCTCTACCCCCTTGACACCCCTGACATCACCTCTACCCCTTGACACCCCTGACATCACCTCTACCCCTTGACACCCCTGACATCACCTCTACCCCCTCGACATCCCGCCTTAGACGTCAGCCCACCCAATCACATAAATAAAATCTAATTGGGCACTAGTCTTGAAATACTGTCGAGTTTTTTTTTATTACAATCAAGAGATAATTGAATACGCTGCCTTAAGAATTTAAACGTAGCTAAGTAACCATATACTTATTGCACAAAAATATATATATATATTCTTTATAAAATGGGAAATTTTAGAGCTTTGGAAAAAAACATAAAAAAAACTTTAACACAATATACATTGATATATGATAAAAAGAATAATGTACTTATATTACTAGATGTTAATGGAGGCTAAACGGTCAATATAAAAATTGAAGGGGATAAAAGAAAAAGTCAAACAACAAGACTATATGTTTTCTTGTCGAGGGGGTGGAAGCAGGCGTTGTAACTGAAATAGCAATATTAACAGAAAATGATATTTCAACGCCAAGGGTAGACAAAGGTACAGAAAACAGTCCAAGTAAAGATTAGCAGTCAGACACCAACGAGATCCGAACCTACTATTCCACACGGCACCTATTCCCCTTTCATTTCATGTTTTCTTGTCTGATTTGAAAATGGAAATCGTCGATCAAAAAATTATTTAAAAAACCAGTCAAAAAACTTTATAATAACTTGCTTTTAAATGTACCACAACAAAATAATCAGACGATTTTATTGGCTGTCATTATACAATAGAAGGGATGGTGGGAGAATGATCGGTTGCCATGACGACCAACGTTTTTATTTTTATAGCTAAAGTAAGTAATGCTTATTGTTATATTTGCATCAACTCTAAAAACATTTAAAAACTTGTTGTTATGAAAGTATTTATGCTAGTTTTATTTCTATAATGTTTAGAAGTTAAATGTTGTGAAAATGGATGATAAAATCGACGGCAACATTAGCGTATTTCAACTTGGTTTCTTATCAAGTCACCTTGACATTGGTTTCTAACCTTGAAAAATTTTAAACGCTATACTCAGAAGTAACAAACCAGAACAGGTCAATAGGATCACGTCAATAGGATCACGTCAAGAGCATCACGTCAAGAGAATCACGTCAAGAGGATCACGTCAAGAGGATCACGTCTAGAGGATCACGTCAAGAGGATCACGTCAAGAGGATCACGTCAAGATCCTATTGAGACAACAGTAACGGTATGTGGGGTGTAAGTAAGCGTATGTGGGGTGTCAGTAAGGGTATATCATTGTCAGTCATATATCACTGACATAAGGGTGTAAGTATGACTAGGACAATGGAATCACTCAAGTATGAGTGGGACAATGGAATCACTCAAGTATGAGTGGGACAATGGAATCACTCAAGTATGACTGGGACAATGGAATTACTCAAGTATGAGTGGTACAAGGTAATCACTCACGTATGACTAGGACAATGGAATAACTCAAGTATGAGTGGGACAATGGAATCACTCAAGTATGAGTGGGACAATCACTCAAGTATGAGTGGTACAAGGTAATCACTCACGTGTGACTAGGACAATGGAATAACTCAAGTATGAGTGGGACAAGGGAATCACTCAGGTATGAGTGGTACAAGGTAATCACTCACGTATGACTAGGACAAGGGAATCATTCAAGTATGAGTGAAACATTTTGACGTAGCTACCGCTTGTTATAAAACTGCTTTGGTCCCTCATTGTGCTCCCAGTGTGCAAAAAATAAAAAGTTCCAACAGGTTGTTGTAAAAGTTGTCTCTTTAATTAGAGAAGTGTCTGGTAAAAGTTGTCTCTTTAATTAGAGAAGTGTCTGGTAAAAGTTGTCTCTTTAATTAGAGAAGTGTCTGGTAAAAGTTGTCTCTTTAATTAGAGAAGTGTCTGGTAAAAGTTGTCTCTTTAATTAGAGAAGTGTCTGGTAAAAGTTGTCTCTTTAATTAGAGAAGTGTCTGGTAAAAGTTGTCTCTTTAATTAGAGAAGTGTCTGGTAAAAGTTGTCTCTTTAATTAGAGAAGTGTCTGGTAAAAGTTGTCTCTTTAATTAGAGAAGTGTCTGGTAAAAGTTGTCTCTTTAATTAGAGAAGTGTCTGGTAAAAGTTGTCTCTTTAATTAGAGAAGTGTCTGGTAAAAGTTGTCTCTTTAATTAGAGAAGTGTCTGGTAAAAGTTGTCTCTTTAATTAGAGAAGTGTCTGGTAAAAGTTGTCTCTTTAATTAGAGAAGTGTCTGGTAAAAGTTGTCTCTTTAATTAGAGAAGTGTCTGGTAAAAGTTGTCTCTTTAATTAGAGAAGTGTCTGGTAAAAGTTGTCTCTTTAATTAGAGAAGTGTCTGGTAAAAGTTGTCTCTTTAATTAGAGAAGTGTCTGGTAAAAGTTGTCTCTTTAATTAGAGAAGTGTCTGGTAAAAGTTGTCTCTTTAATTAGAGAAGTGTCTGGTAAAAGTTGTCTCTTTAATTAGAGAAGTGTCTGGTAAAAGTTGTCTCTTTAATTAGAGAAGTGTCTGGTAAAAGTTGTCTCTTTAATTAGAGAAGTGTCTGGTAAAAGTTGTCTCTTTAATTAGAGAAGTGTCTGGTAAAAGTTGTCTCTTTAATTAGAGAAGTGTCTGGTAAAAGTTGTCTCTTTAATTAGAGAAGTGTCTGGTAAAAGTTGTCTCTTTAATTAGAGAAGTGTCTGGTAAAAGTTGTCTCTTTAATTAGAGAAGTGTCTGGTAAAAGTTGTCTCTTTAATTAGAGAAGTGTCTGGTAAAAGTTGTCTCTTTAATTAGAGAAGTGTCTGGTAAAAGTTGTCTCTTTAATTAGAGAAGTGTCTGGTAAAAGTTGTCTCTTTAATTAGAGAAGTGTCTGGTAAAAGTTGTCTCTTTAATTAGAGAAGTGTCTGGTAAAAGTTGTCTCTTTAATTAGAGAAGTGTCTGGTAAAAGTTGTCTCTTTAATTAGAGAAGTGTCTGGTAAAAGTTGTCTCTTTAATTAGAGAAGTGTCTGGTAAAAGTTGTCTCTTTAATTAGAGAAGTGTCTGGTAAAAGTTGTCTCTTTAATTAGAGAAGTGTCTGGTAAAAGTTGTCTCTTTAATTAGAGAAGTGTCTGGTAAAAGTTGTCTCTTTAATTAGAGAAGTGTCTGGTAAAAGTTGTCTCTTTAATTAGAGAAGTGTCTGGTAAAAGTTGTCTCTTTAATTAGAGAAGTGGCTGGTAAAAGTTGAGTCCTTGTTTAGCGAAGTGGCGCACTTGAAGTCAAACAATGTCGCACACAAAGATGGTGGTTTGTGATGGGTGTTTGTGTTTTGTACCGAATGATTTGTGTTGATGTTTGTGCATACACGCGTCAAGCCAGAGCAACAAAAACAGTGAGTCGGCCTATAGATTAAACTAATAAATAATAACCACAGATCTCACGATAAAGTGTCAAGGGGAATCAACTGAATGCAAATAAAATAAAAATAAAAATTCACTGCTTATATTGATTGATTAGACTTCACATTCACAGCTAATATTGATTGATTAGACTTCACATTCACAGCTAATATTGATTGATTAGACTTCACATCGAGCTAAAGAAACAAAAACAGATCATTCTGTCAGAGAAAAGTTTGAACGAGCATTGACGTGCAAGAGCTGCTTGATACTGTGTTTAGTTTGTTTACCTTCCGGAGATTTTGTTTACTGCCCAGAGATTTTGTGTACTGCCCAGAGATTTTGTGTGCTGCCCAGAGATTTTGTGTGCTGCCCAGAGATTTTGTGTGCTGCCCAGAGATTTTGTGTGCTGCCCAGAGATTTTGTGTGCTGCCCAGAGATTTTGTGTGCTGCCCAGAGATTTTGTGTGCTGCCCAGAGATTTTGTGTGCTGCCCAGAGATTTTGTGTACTGCCCAGAGATTTTGTGTACTGCCCAGAGATTTTGTGTACTGCCCAGAGATTTTGTGTACTGCCCAGAGATTTTGTGTACTGCCCAGAGATTTTGTGTACTGCCCAGAGATTTTGTGTACTGCCCAGAGATTTTGTGTACTGCCCAGAGATTTTGTGTACTGCCCAGAGATTTACTTTAACCGACTCTTCTTTTCTGGTTCTATATCTACCATTTGCCAACAGAACAAAAAGGTTGTGATATGTGTCCTTTAGTGGTAGTGTTGACGTGGCTTCTAATGGGTAAGTAGAGTGGGTAAGTAGAGTGGGTAAGTAGAGTGGGTAAGTAGAGTGGGTAAGTAGAGTGGGTAAGTAGAGTGGGTAAGTAGAGTGGGTAAGTAGAGTGGGTAAGTAGAGTGGGTAAGTAGAGTGGGTAAGTAGAGTGGGTAAGTAGAGTGGGTAAGTAGAGTGGGTAAGTAGAGTGGGTAAGTAGAGTGGGTAAGTAGAGTGGGTAAGTAGAGTGGGTAAGTAGAGTGGGTAAGTAGAGTGGGTAAGTAGAGTGGGTAAGTAGAGTGGGTAAGTAGAGTGGGTAAGTAGAGTGGGTAAGTAGAGTGGGTAAGTAGAGTGGGTAAGTAGAGTGGGTAAGTAGAGTGGGTAAGTAGAGTGGGTAAGTAGAGTGGGTAAGTAGAGTGGGTAAGTAGAGTGGGTAAGTAGAGTGGGTAAGTAGAGTGGGTAAGTAGAGTGGGTAAGTAGAGTGGGTAAGTAGAGTGGGTAAGTAGAGTGGGTAAGTAGAGTGGGTAAGTAGAGTGGGTAAGTAGCGTGGGTAAGTAGCGTGGGTAAGTAGAGTGGGTAAGTAGAGTGGGTAAGTAGGGTGTATGTAGAGGGAAAGGGGAAGTGCTAGACTAACAATAATCTGCCCTAGGTGAACTGGTTTGTGCCGAGACCAGAGACAAGGACTTTAGCTGGCGAAATAAAACTGACGTCAGAATGTTGCCCTTGGATGACCTTCACCATGCCGAGGGTGACCTTGACTGTGCCATTTTGTGTTCACTCAGCCAGAACGACTGCCAGAACTTCATGTTTGATCAGGCAACCGGAACCTGCAGTCTAGGTAGGTATAAGATAGGTTTAAGATAGGTTTAAGATAGGTTTAAGGTAGGTTTAATGTATGTTTAAGATATGTTTTAGATAGGTTTAAGGTAGGTTTTAGATAGGTTTTATGTAGGTTTTTAGGCAGGGTTACGAAACCTGGCTGATAACAGTTGAAAGTTTTCTATAGAGGGAGCAACGTCACCGGTCTAAAGGGGTTTATAATTAGGGTTCAGTGCTATCAGGAACTAGCAATGGGAAATTAGTTTCATGTCAGACAAGTAAAAAAATAATGGCATAAAGTTATTCCAAGGTCATTGGATTCTACCAAAAGACTCGGTCAATGAATTAGTGCCACAACCGTCAGCTGCTGAGTCAACGCTCTTCTCGCTGGGCAAGTTCTGTCAAGTCAATGAGACGGTCAACTTCATCGGCAATGGCAGGATGGGATCTTGTAACACTGCTGCTTGTCTAGGTATGGGATCTTGTAACACTGCTGCTTGTCTAGGTATGGGATCTTGTAACACTGCTGCTTGTCTATGGGATCTTGTAACACTGCTGCTTGTCTAGGTATGGGATCTTGTAACACTGCTGCTTGTCTAGGTATGGGATCTTGTAACACTGCTGCTTGTCTAAGGGATCTTGTAACACTGCTGCTTGTCTAAGGGATCTTGTAACACTGCTGCTTGTCTAGGTATGGGATCTTGTAACACTGCTGCTTGTCTAGGTATGGGATCTTGTAACACTGCTGCTTGTCTAGGTATGGGATCTTGTAACACTGCTGCTTGTCTAGGTATGGGATCTTGTAACACTGCTGCTTGTCTAGGTATGGGATCTTGTAACACTGCTGCTTGTCTAGGTATGGGATCTTGTAACACTGCTGCTTGTCTAGGTATGGGATCTTGTAACACTGCTGCTTGTCTAGGTATGGGATCTTGTAACACTGCTGCTTGTCTAGGTATGGGATCTTATAACACTGCTGCTTGTCTAGGTATGGGATCTTGTAACACTGCTGCTTGTCTAGGTATGTCATCTTGTAACACTGCTGCTTGTCTAGGTATGGGATCTTGTAACACTGCTGCTTGTCTAGGTATGGGATCTTGTAACACTGCTGCTTGTCTAGGTATGGGATCTTGTAACACTGCTGCTTGTCTATGGGATCTTGTAACACTGCTGCTTGTCTAGGTATGGGATCTTGTAACACTGCTGCTTGTCTAGGTATGGGATCTTGTAACACTGCTGCTTGTCTAGGTATGGGATCTTGTAACACTGCTGCTTGTCTAGGTATGGGATCTTGTAACACTGCTGCTTGTCTAGGTATGGGATCTTGTAACACTGCTGCTTGTCTAGGTATGGGATCTTGTAACACTGCTGCTTGTCTAGGTATGGGATCTTGTAACACTGCTGCTTGTCTAGGTATGGGATCTTGTAACACTGCTGCTTGTCTAGGTATGGGATCTTGTAACACTGCTGCTTGTCTAGGTATGGGATCTCGTAACACTGCTGCTTGTCTATGGGATCTTGTAACACTGCTGCTTGTCTATGGGATCTTGTAACACTGCTGCTTGTCTAGGTAAGGGATCTTGTAACACTGCTGCTTGTCTAGGTATGGGATCTTGTAACACTGCTGCTTGTCTAGGTATGGGATCTTGTAACACTGCTGCTTGTTTAGGTATGGGATCTTGTAACACTGCTGCTTGTCTAGGTATGGGATCTTGTAACACTGCTGCTTGTCTAGGTATGGGATCTTGTAACACTGCTGCTTGTCTAGGTATGGGATCTTGTAACACTGCTGCTTGTCTAGGTATGGGATCTTGTAACACTGCTGCTTGTCTAGGTATGGGATCTTGTAACACTGCTGCTTGTCTAGGTATGGGATCTTGTAACACTGCTGCTTGTCTAGGTATGGGATCTTGTAACACTGCTGCTTGTCTAGGTATGGGATCTTGTAACACTGCTGCTTGTCTAGGTATGGGATCTTGTAACACTGCTGCTTGTCTAGGTATGGGATCTTGTAACACTGCTGCTTGTCTAGGTATGGGATCTTGTAACACTGCTGCTTGTCTAGGTATGGGATCTTGTAACACTGCTGCTTGTCTAGGTATGGGATCTTGTAACACTGCTGCTTGTCTATTGGATCTTGTAACACTGCTGCTTGTCTAGGTATGGGATCTTGTAACACTGCTGTTGGTCTATGGGATCTTGTAACACTGCTGCTTGTCTAGGTATGGGATCTTGTAACACTGCTGCTTGTCTAGGTAGGGTTTGGCCACAGTAATACATCTTTAGTTCTGTAACCTATAACATCAGGTCTCAATATGAAGCTCTTAGTAGATTGCGTTGACAAGTTATTTTATATTTCAACCACAGAACAGCAAAACATAGCAAGAAAGAATTCAAATGTGCTCTATGACCCAACTATTTATAAATCCTGTTCGGACGTCAAGAACTCCAGCAACCCCAGACAACTTTTACAACTGTCGTCTGGTCTTGTCGTCATGTGTGACACAGTGACAGATGGAGGGGGCTGGACAATTTTCCAACGTCGCGTCTCCGGTGTCGTGGACTTTTACCGCAACTGGGAGGAATACAAACACGGGTTCGGAGACTTCGACGCTGGGGAATTTTACCTGGGCAACGAAAACATTTACTGTCTGATTGCTAATAAATCTTACGTGTTGAGGATTGACATGAAGTACAAAGGTCAAGGCTACTACGCCTTGTACTCAGGGTTTAAGTTCTACTCGGAGGTTGACTTCTATAAACTGTCAGTGCAAGGATTTACCGGAAACACCAGCGACTCTCTCAGTTTGTTGAACAACAACCAGAAATTTTCAACGTTCGACAGGGACAATGACGCTGACGCCGCCAGAAACTGTGCCGTGAACTTCCACGGCGCCTGGTGGTACGCCGGCTGTCACTACACCAACCTTAACGGTATCTACGGCAGTACGGAGTTCGGCAAGGGGATGGAATGGCTGGCTATCACTGGAGACTATGGAAGTTTAGACCAAACCGAGATGAAAATTAGACCTCTTTAGATTAGGTAATGACAGGCATCCCCCCCCCCCCAAAAAAAAAAGTTTACCCCCTCCCCCCCCCCCCGAACGAAATGGAATTTATATAGAAAATATATACATTTAACAGTGTCCGCCCCCCCCCCCCCACCCCCCGAGAAAAGTCTGGAAGAAACACTGTTGACAGGCAATCAAACAGATAGTGACACTTTGGAATAAAAAGGAGATGAAAATTAAAGTGACTTGAGCTTGATTTATACATAAAGACTAGTCGACAAATTGAAAAATGTACAGAAATTAAACTCTGCTAAATGTGTTTGACTGATTAATTCTTTTATACGTGCACCGTGTTTTTTAATATATTCTAATAAATACAGTTTTAAGAAATCAGTGTTTAATAAAGTGTTTAAGAATTCATATTTTTTTAACATTTGTTGCTAGTAACAACCTGAAATAGAATAGGTTGGTTGTCGTCTCCAGGTACCGAGCCTGGCCCGAGGGTGCGAATTGGCCTATCTCATTGACTAAGATATCGTGTAAATGTAAGCAGTATAAGATTACATTACAATAACCTCAGATATTTGACAAGATTACATTGCAGCTACTGTAGATATAAAACAAGATTACATCACGTCTTAAATTTGACAAGGTTGCATTACAATATCGTCAGAAATTTAACATAAAACTACTTTAAAAATATGAAATAAATCATTGATGTATCTCAAAACTCGAACTACAAATATCTGTCAAAGAAAATGTGATTAAAAATGTACAACTTTGCTTTGTTCTGTACGTGGCATGTGTAGATTAAATCACAAACAAGTTCGATGACAAACCAGTTCGATAACAAACCAGTTCGATCAAAGACTTGCAGTAACTAATTAGACTTGTGGTTCATGACGTGTGTTCAATAAATAATGCCAGCTACTTTCTTCATGGTCTGCAGAGTTCATGTTCCATTTTCTGATAGGATCAGGTCATGTTTACAGATCAGGTCATGTTTACAGTTGAGATCGATTTCTTCGATTTGGTTTAGATTTGTGTTCAGATTAAAGACACTGAATCTATCTCGGACTGAATAAACATTATAATAAAAAATAAAATCATTTTTACGCTAAACCTAGTACAGTCATCTTCTTAGATATACACCACACCTATTACAATCATCTTCTTAGATTTACACCACACCTATTACAATCATCTTCTTAGATTTACACCACACCTATTACAATCATCTTCTTAGATTTACACCACACCTATTACAATCATCTTCTTAGATTTACACCACACCTATTACAATTATCTTCTTAGATTTACACCACACCTATTACAATCATCTTCTTAGATTTACACCGCACCTATTACAATCATCTTCTTAGATTTACACCACACCTATTACAGTCATCTTCTTAGATTTACACCACACCTAGTACAATCATCTTCTTAGATTTACACCACACCTATTACAATCATCTTCTTAGATTTACACCACACCTATTACAATCATCTTCTTAGATTTACACCACACCTATTACAATCATCTTCTTAGATTTACACCACACCTATTACAGTCATCTTCTTAGATTTACACCACACCTAGTACAATCATCTTCTTTGTTTGACGTTTGTTACATCCCCACAACCACAGCAACTACCTGAGCCACACACGAGATAAAGTTACAGTAATAAATACGTTATGGACATGTTTTAGAGGAGACAGTAGTTGGCCACGAGTGGAGTTGGCCACAAGTGGGAGTTGGCCACAAGTGGGAGTTGGCCACAAGTGGGAGTTGGCCACAAGTGGGAGTTGGCCACAAGTGGGAGTTGGCCACAAGTGGGAGTTGGCCACAAGTGGGAGTTGGCCACAAGTGGGAGTTGGCCACAAGTGGGAGTTGGCCACAAGTGGGAGTTGGCCACAAGTGGGAGTTGGCCACAAGTGGGAGTTGGCCACAAGTGGGAGTTGGCCACAAGTGGGAGTTGGCCACAAGTGGGAGTTGGCCACAAGTGGGAGTTGGCCACAAGTGGGAGTTGGCCACAAGTGGGAGTTGGCCACAAGTGGGAGTTGGCCACAAGTGGGAGTTGGCCACAAGTGGGAGTTGGCCACAAGTGGGAGTTGGCCACAAGTGGGAGTTGGCCACAAGTGGGAGTTGGCCACAAGTGGGAGTTGGCCACAAGTGGGAGTTGGCCACAAGTGGGAGTTGGCCACAAGTGGGAGTTGGCCACAAGTGGGAGTTGGCCACAAGTGGGAGTTGGCCACAAGTGGGAGTTGGCCACAAGTGGGAGTTGGCCACAAGTGGGAGTTGGCCACAAGTGGGAGTTGGCCACAAGTGGGAGTTGGCCACAAGTGGGAGTTGGCCACAAGTGGGAGTTGGCCACAAGTGGGAGTTGGCCACAAGTGGGAGTTGGCCACAAGTGGGAGTTGGCCACAAGTGGGAGTTGGCCACAAGTGGGAGTTGGCCACAAGTGGGAGTTGGCCACAAGTGGGAGTTGGCCACAAGTGGGAGTTGGCCACAAGTGGGAGTTGGCCACAAGTGGGAGTTGGCCACAAGTGGGAGTTGGCCACAAGTGGGAGTTGGCCACAAGTGGGAGTTGGCCACAAGTGGGAGTTGGCCACAAGTGGGAGTTGGCCACAAGTGGGAGTTGGCCACAAGTGGGAGTTGGCCACAAGTGGGAGTTGGCCACAAGTGGGAGTTGGCCACAAGTGGAAGTTGGCCACAAGTGGAGTTGGCCACAAGTGGAGTTGGCCACAAGTGGAGTTGGCCACAAGTGGAGTTGGCCACAAGTGGAGTTGGCCACAAGTGGAGTTGGCCACAAGTGGAGTTGGCCACAAGTGGAGTTGGCCACAAGTGGAGTTGGCCACAAGTGGAGTTGGCCACAAGTGGGAGTTGGCCACAAGTGGGAGTTGGCCACAAGTGGAGTTGGCCACAAGTGGAGTTGGCCAAAAGTGGAGTTGGCCACAAGTGGAGTTGGCCACAAGTGGGAGTTTGGCCACAAGTGGGAGTTGGCCACAAGTGGCACAAGTGGGAGTTGGCCACAAGTGGAGTTGGCCACAAGTGGAGTTGGCCAAAAGTGGAGTTGGCCACAAGTGGAGTTGGCCACAAGTGGAGTTGGCCACAAGTGGAGTTGGCCACAAGTGGAGTTGGCCAGGGTGGCACTTTTGTACCGACCTCTCTTTGTTGTACACAGCGGTACATAACTGATGTTGTACACAGCGGTACATAACTGATGTTGTACACAGCGGTACATAACTGATGTTGTACACAGCGGTACATAACTGATGTTGTACACAGCGGTACATAATTGATGTTGTACACAGCGGTACATAACTGATGTTGTACACAGCGGTACATAACTGATGTTGTACACAGCGGTACATAACTGATGTTGTACACAGCGGTACATAACTGATGTTGTACACAGCGGTACATAACTGATGTTGTACACAGCGGTACATAACTGATGTTGTACACAGCGGTACATAACTGATGTTGTACACAGCGGTACATAATTGATGTTGTACACAGCGGTACATAACTGATGTTGTACACAGCGGTACATAACTGATGTTGTACACAGCGGTACATAACTGATGTTGTACACAGCGGTACATAACTGATGTTGTACACAGCGGTACATAACTGATGTTGTACACAGCGGTACATAACTGATGTTGTACACAGCGGTACATAACTGATGTTGTACACAGCGGTACATAACTGATGTTGTACACAGCGGTACATAACTGATGTTGTACACAGCGGTACATAACTGATGTTGTACGCAGCGGTACATAACTGATGTTGTACACAGCGGTACATAACTGATGTTGTACACATCGGTACATAACTGATGTTGTACACAGCGGTACATAACTGATGTTGTACGCAGCGGTACATAACTGATGTTGTACACAGCGGTACATAACTGATGTTGTACACATCGGTACATAACTGATGTTGTACACAGCGGTACATAACTGATGTTGTACACAGCGGTACATAACTGATGTTGTACACAGCGGTACATAACTGATGTTGTACACAGCGGTACATAACTGATGTTGTACACAGCGGTACATAACTGATGTTGTACACAGCGGTACATAACTGATGTTGTACACAGCGGTACATAACTGATGTTGTACACAGCGGTACATAACTGATGTTGTACACAGCGGTACATAACTGATGTTGTACACAGCGGTACATAACTGATGTTGTACACAGCGGTACATAACTGATGTTGTACACAGCGGTACATAACTGATGTTGTACACAGCGGTACATAATTGATGTTGTACACAGCGGTACATAACTGATGTTGTACACAGCGGTACATAACTGATGTTGTACACAGCGGTACATAACTGATGTTGTACGCAGCGGTACATAATTGATGTTGTACACAGCGGTACATAACTGATGTTGTACACAGCGGTACATAATTGATGTTGTACACAGCGGTACATAACTGATGTTGTACGCAGCGGTACATAATTGATGTTGTACACAGCGGTACATAACTGATGTTGTACACAGCGGTACATAACTGATGTTGTACGCAGCGGTACATAATTGATGTTGTACACAGCGGTACATAACTGATGTTGTACACAGCGGTACATAATTGATGTTGTACACAGCGGTACATAATTGATGTTGTACACAGCGGTACATAACTGATGTTGTACACAGCGGTACATAACTGATGTTGTACACAGCGGTACATTATTGATGTTGTACACAGCGGTACATAACTGATGTTGTACACAGCGGTACATAACTGATGTTGTACACAGCGGTACATAACTGATGTTGTACACAGCGGTACATAACTGATGTTGTACACAGCGGTACATAACTGATGTTGTACACAGCGGTACATAACTGATGTTGTACACAGCGGTACATAACTGATGTTGTACGCAGCGGTACATAATTGATGTTGTACACAGCGGTACATAACTGATGTTGTACACAGCGGTACATAATTGATGTTGTACACAGCGGTACATAACTGATGTT